AACTTGACGAAAAGTTTTTGGCATTGAATCAAGTACAAATAAACTAAAATGAGGCAAAATACAATTTAAGCTGTTACAACATAATAATTTATAATCTCACGAGTGGAATCATTTGCATTACTAATATATCTGTGTCGGAGATTTCTACTACTACTACTACTGGGCAGTTGTAAAGATCGCCGTAGAATATAGCTCTTCGTTAATTAGCGACTCACAGATTTGATTGTATAATGTGCAACAATGGACAAAAAGTTCAGGAATAATTTGAATTTGGTGTAGAAGAACTAAAATCGTAGATAAAAGTGAATTTGTGGTGAGTTTAGAATGTGACCTCTCCTTCAATGTTATCCCTCGGACAATTTAGGCTGGCAGTTTCCAGAATTGCTGTGAAAAGGCGGTCGGTAATAGAGAACTTATTTTTCGGCTTTTTGTTTTAAAAGCTCAAAATTAATATCAGGATTGTAGAAGTGTGCAGTACAAAGATATATTGATAATACAATATTCGTTGTGTTTCAGCATTGCTCATATTTTTATAACATGAATTGACAATGTTGTAATCATAATTATTACATCATCAGCCAACTTTTTGGATTCGCCAACAGCTACTGAGAAATCAGTTAGAGTAGCAGCATCAAAAATAGGCCTAATAAATGGCGTCAAAATCTTGTCGCATTTCTCTGCAAAAGATTTTTAAAATAAATAGGCAAGAACGCTCAAATTTGTTGACGATAGAGACAAGAACGCGGCCAAGAATTCATACTTTAGACTAAATTAAGTATCCATTATTACTTTTACCTTCAGTTTTTCCTCTCTAATAGCCGTGATCGCACGTTGAATACTTGGTGGTCGAAGTTGTCTTACTTCATTTATTGAAATGTCGCTGGGTAACAAGCCTTGGAGCAGTATTTCTGGTGGTTGTAGAAGTAGTGCCATAACATTTCTCAGTTGTGTATCTGACCATTCCGATAGACAGTAGTCAGCACCACATATCCCACAGACAAACGGTAGGTATAATTCTAGTGAGAGATATCGTACAGAATTGATGATGTAAGCTAAATTGGATTAATTAAAGCAACTAGCGAGTACAAAACATTCAAAAAATAAAGAAAATCTATAAATGGAATTCCTCGGTGATACACGGCGCTTTATGAATGCAATGCATAGTTCGAAGATTGCTCGTCAATACAAGCTAATATGCTTTCAATTAATTTAGAAACGAATGCTGTTCGAGTGGTGTTAGTTGAACGTTGTTAGCTGAATGAAATACGTGCGCCTATGAGGAGGAAGACGAACCGTTCATAATTAAATATTCTATACGTTGTAATCGATTGGATAATTGAATTGTGAATATTAGCAGCTGTAAAATAGAATCTTCCAAAGGTATACTCTGCTGTAACATTTGGTTTATTCCTTGATCCGTCATCTGAAAATGTCCACTCTTTTAATGTTCCTTTATCTTTTATGAATCTTTTTTATGATTTAAAGTTATTCGCTTACTTCTACGGGATGAATAACTGGCACAAAGGCAGAGTTTTCTTGGGATGAAATTTGAAAGATAGAATTTCCGGGAGGTGAAGCAACAGGAGTAAATTTATTCTCTGCGACTTCAGGCGCATTTTTATCATTTACGGCTAACATCGTTTCGTCATTGTTGTCGTATCTCGGCATTGTTTCTTCTGAAATAGCATAATAATATTACCGTACCGTTTTATTTATATTCTAACACCATACATTTATGGGAACTGAAAAATGAATAGAACTCATTTCTCCCGTCATTTCTTCTTTTATATTTCTCGGTCCAGGACTATCTGTAAATATATTATTCAATTCGCAATTGATATTGCAATAATTTAAAGAGTAGATTCAATTATTTAGTGAATCCATGACTTACCAGTTAAATTTCTCCTCTTTTTGTTTATAACTCGCAAGTAGTCTTCCTCAGTGTTGCCATGATTTTGGTGTTCTTCATGAAAAGATGAAATTCGAAGGCATCCATTCGTTGTATCGGCATTTAAACGAAATCTGGCTTCGCAACCTAATGGAAGATAACTTTGATTTGGACGCTTACCGCCTCCTGAAAGAATGAACAATGAAATTTTTCTTTCGCTCGTATAAGAAAATTTTTGAGAGTGCGTAATGGTTGATCAGATTCAATATCGCAAAATAATGGCGGCGAATACTACGAGCATCGTCCTGTTCACTAATAGTTTAATGGCGAAAATGATTACGATAGGTGCATTTCATCGTTCAGTAAAAGTTTATGAGAGTCATCCTGAAGTAATATTAAAGCGTTTTGGCAAAGTTGTTGTGGAGAATGAAAGGAAAAAATCAAACGTGACCTCTTTTGCGCGGATGTCCGTAATGCGCGCAATGAAACACTACATATTTGTATTTAAAGCGGTCAATTACACGTCCTTCGCTATCTCGGAGATATTCAGAACTAGCTCTCCTGTATGGATAATTCCATACAATTTTGTAAGCTTCTAAACATTCTTCGAATTCAGCAAAACTGAAAAACAACTATCATTTGCAATATTTCAGTGCTTTTGTTTAGAGTTATATCTTTAAGAAAAATAAAACGATACCTTCGAAATGTTGCACCTTCGTAAACATTTGAAGCTTTATGCTGAAGTTCTTGTTGCTCCGATGGCGTAAATGTCGAGAATGTTCTGTTGCCATATTTTTGATTAAGTTTTGATAATTCCAATTCATTACGCTTTCGTTTGGCACTTGATAAAGCTGAAGTAACGATTTCATCATATCTTTGAATCAAAATGAAAAAAAGAGAAGATTTAAATTTCCTTCGAGTAACACAAGCAGATCATCAAGTCGTACCGTTTTCCGGTCTGTCGACCTTCTCATTATTTGGTTTACCGGTCCTTTCCTCGTAGTGTTGTTCACTTAATATGACCTCATCAGGTTGTTTATTCAGTATCTCACTTTGTCCATTCCTGTTGCTTAAATCAATAGGCTCTTCTTCGGACTCATCGAAGTATTCTTGTACAGCATATTCCGTTTCACTTGCACTTTGGTTGATGTTATCATCTAAAAGTATTCTTTTGCCTGAAGAGCATATTTCGAAAGATATTTTATTCGTCTGAAAACCGTTTCTAAAGAAGTATCGGTCACTTACAAATGATATGATTAATGAATTTTGGCTTCCGCTTATTTCGCGCTGATCCATTTTCAACTGTAATTATACCAAATTCTTCATTTACTGAAAAATGTTTCAATTTACTTAGTGTTTCCTAACTTATTTATTTTACAATATTGCAGGATTTCTTTCAAATTTTTGCTACATTGAATACATATATATAAACATATATATAAACTATCTTACCGTAGTCTTCTACTGCTACCTTCCTATTTAGGCAGTAATAAAATTTATTTTGAATATATTCCGATGATAGAGATTATCAAAAAGTCGTACTTTCATAAGTATTATTGCTTTTGTCAGCAGAAGTTTGTACTTCATTTTCTGCTTGTTTCATCAACGCCCTCTTTGAGGTGGCTTCTACTGCATTTCCGTCTCTGTTTTCTACCTTTCTCATTTCCTCAATTATTCTCTGCCATTCTGCAACTACAGTAGAAGATTCAGTTTGCATCGACGAGTTCGATTCATTATTCACTTCCTCCTGCATAATTACTGTATGCTGCAAATTCATCCATATTTAGTATGTTTATAAATATTGCCGCATCTCAATCATTGTGATATATTTTCAGGAAGAATTAAAATTATTTCAACGGACTCGAACGCTTGTTTTTACTCACCTCGATATTAGCATTTTCATATTTTTCCTCATAGTGTGGCGTTGTCGCAGGGAGTTGCTCTTTAATTTCATCCGTGAATTTCGATGATGCCATTTTCAACTGAAATCAAATTGTGAAAGTTTCCAATGATTCAACAAATTCAATTGACTTTAGATATTTTTTTGTTGCCACATAATTGCTGCGCACATGGAAACACTGATAATTGTAATAATCGATTAGTCATTTTCCTTAAGTTCAAAAAAGTCAGTTTTGCTATTTAGGAGAAATTGTGAAATGATGATTGATTCTACGTGAATCTTTTAACTTCTGGTTTCAAACAACTGATCTGTTCCTTAAGCAGATTTTGAGATCAGAATGGGTAAAGACCTTCAATACGAAAACCTTATAAGTATATTTTTCCATATTATAAGCTGGAGAAGGTCAAAGTTGTGAACTCCATGAAGATGATTTTCCTGGTCTTGTAAAATGACCCTCTTCTTCACTTTCCCCTTGTCAGACCTTCTTTCGTTTTATTCATTTTACTATGGAATAGATCCAAGTTCACATAATGCAGCGCGATTTGCAAAAAACAAACTTCTATTGGGATATCCTGTGTGACAATCAAAAGAGACTGTGGAGGAGGGAGTAGAGGATGCATCCATAAAAGTGGACGGCGGCTGCAGATCGGTCAGCTGATGTATTGGTTAGGTGAGTAACACAGTGTGTTTATTAGAGAAGGAGCGAACAAAAGAAGGAGGAATTAGAAGGAGAAAGCAGAAGATAATTTTTTACTTATAGGTCCCATCCTTTATCCCTCTACCATTCCATGACCATCAGTTACGTGTCTCTTCACTTACTATCTGACCCCATTATTTAATGTGAAAATTATATTAATAGGAAATTTTAAGTTGATAAAAGTAAAATAGGTGCAAAAGTATAAAAATTCCTTTACAGCGATAATCATCTTATTTGTTAGACGACAAAGGAATGGTTTGAAAGTGATTGTGACATATTTCTGATATCCATCAAGGAGACTTTCACCTTTATTATCACTGAATTAAACTAATCTTATCCAAAGATATGAAGGAGTTAAACGTTGTAAAAATGAAGGAGTTAAAGGAGTTAAAAGTTAAAGGAGTTTTTGAAGAAGTTAAACGTTGTAAAAATAAATAAGCAATATGAGGACACATTAAATGTGATAAATATCCCACATCAGAAATTCTCGATAAAGAAATATCGCGGTCATTTATCAAATAAGCCACAGATAACGAAATGATAGTGAAATACGAAAAAAAAATATGAATGGTATAGTAGAAAATGACTATCATCAAAATGTTTATGATTCGACTTCATAATCATTATTATTTTTATTATTAGTTATTATTATTTATTATTTTATTATTAATTATTATTATTGTTAAAAATTAATAATGAAAGTATATTATTTGAATTTGAAAAGTTTCAGTTGCAAAAAATTGCTTGTAAGTTTAATTTGACATTGATTATTGACAATTTAAACAATTAATACCAATTTTTCATTAACTTATTAGTATTTTGTGATTTGTCATTATTTTTTTCAGCGCTAATTGAATATTATTTGTTTTTAATAAATTAACTTAAGAAAGAAGAAAATTTTTTTGGCCAATAAAAATTAAAAAATTTTCATTACTACAATATTTGAGTATAAAATAATATTTCGAAGAGATGTGACAATGAATTTGAATAGAACTATGAAACAACCTATAACATTGAAGTCACCACCAATAAAACTGTGCTTCTAACAAATGGAATACGGTAATAGAGGAAGCTAAGATAGGCCTTGCAATTGTGATCATGTTGGGAATAAAAATAACTTGAAAAGGTTTAGGTTTTATTTTGAAAATTTGTGATGTAATGTAAGAAAAGAAAGAGTCCACAAAAGTAGACGACGGCCTAGAGGTTGATTAGCTAATGTAATGGTCAGCTTGATGACTACGCTTTGAAGAGAGGGCAGAGATTAAAATTACTTTTTTTTCATCTTCTGTCTATTTTCTCTTTGACCTTATGCATCTCACTTTTAGAGTGATCATTGGAATTGTATATGATAGTAAGTTATGTTTGACCTTAACCGTTTTGGCCTCAAACAAAGCGTTAACGATGACAACAATGGAAGAATTTAATGCTGAAATAATTTTATTTTCTCATTGAAATATTAAAAACAACTCAGATTTATTCCATACTTGCTACAGAAATATTTATTTAAAATGAATGAATCATAGTAAATACTTTTCCATTAGTTAGGCAAATACTTAATGAAATATTTTAAGTTTAAATCTTCACGACACATTCTTATTCTTTGGTTCAAAGTTGTGAATTTAAATTTGTTGAAATGTTAGATGTATATTTATAATTCTTCTAATTAAATAATTAATACTTAAAAAGAAAAAGGTGATCTATACTTTATATACCTTTCCCAAAAAATGAAGAACTATAGTTGGATCATTTCCAAAAAAAGCTTTCTTTTAATTTTACATTTACCCGAAAGTCTACCTGCTTATAGAAGTATGGACAACAATGAGATAGAAGTTGTTATCTTGCATAGTTTCCATTGATGATCCAATACAGAGCGATCCATTGAGTTTTAATCTGTCCAGCTCACTTAAAAATCAATAATCTGCCATACCTCTTGATTCCCTCCCTTTTCAAAAAATATAATTATCGCTTTGAAGATATTAACTACCCTTATGCCTTCATTAATTACTGTGTCTTATTGGTCAATGTGCCATATTGACCACTGTGCGTTGTTGACCATTTACTACTGTAAATATGAGCAATTGTGAGAACTCTATTTCTCATACCATAATCCATTTTTCTCTCGCTTTATATTTCACTTCAAAAATTTTGTTCCTCTTAAATCTTACAAATCTTTTGTTTAAATCCATAACTAATTGGCGTATTCAAATGTTGATTTCGATCAAATTCTAAAATTGTAATTTAGATTTGAAAATTGCTTAGATCTATTGGAAAATAGCAATTTTACATTCTCTTGAAACAATAAAACATATCCTTATTTATTTTTCAAATTCAATTTGATTAACTGATCATTTGGGAGGACCAATGATTCATTTCCTTTTTATTAAAAGATATGTTAAGCTTCTGAAGAAACCTTTCAAGAATCAGAATGGGCAATCATCTTCTGATGAAGAAATAACAGTGAGATTCTAGAAAATATTTTCTCGGAAAACGAATTAAGACAAATCGATTCCTATTATAATCCGATTATCTTCTGTGATTACTCTTCTATCGGTGCAATAATTTTAACATAGCAACTGAGAAATATTTCAAATTAATTAGAAAACAATGAATCAGTAAAAATTTTCACAGTTTGGTTTCAGCTTCAAACCAGCTTATAATCGTGAAAATTAAAAAAAATCACTTGAACACACAGAGAAGTGCAAGAACAATTCCTTCTTGCAACCCTAACATTATGCGAAAAAAATCGATGAGTAAAATGGTCCTTTCTGGAAGAACATCGCGGAATAACGCTTTTGTAGTTGAAAGCGCTGCCTCACGCGACTTCTTATTAGAAGACGAGTAAGTTAAACAATATCACGGTCAACGTGTCAGTCACTATGGGCACGTCAGTAAAGCAGTGCCACCGTGAACGCGTTGGTGTCTGAACAGTGTCATTGCGGACGCGTCAATCAACTAATGGCGTTGTAAAAGCGGGCTTCCCTTCGATTTTGCCTTTACGTTGTTTTCTT